ATGTTTATTTTCATCTTTATTTTCACCAGTATATGTTTCAATGATTTTCAGAACAGTTCTTAAAGTTACTAGAAATGGGATCCAAATGTTTCGCAAATGCTATCCTTAGTCCTCCTGTTCCCTAATACAAAATGATGACTGGGGTTAAAAAAAGAGGTATCGCTCTGTTGAAACCTCCTTTATTAGCCTGGTATTTCTTCAAATACTTAGAAAGTATATGTGTGTGTTTTTGAACATTTCTGTAGTTTTAAAGAGATGCAATAAAATGAAAAAAAAAAATCTATTTTAACTTATGTTGTTCATCTCTTCTGCAATTGTTTTGGTTTATTTCATGATTTTGAAGCAGGAACCTTCTATTTTCCAAAGTTATTGCCTGTCTTCTACTTCACACTAAGGACCTCATTCTGATTTGATTGAAACAAGGATAAAATACTACAGCAAATTTGGGTCAGTAGGTGGATTGATCTTTTCTTTTAATGTCTATTCCTACTTATTAGCATGTAAAAATCAACTTATCTTCAATCTAAGTACACTGTTAGGCACTGAATTTAATTTTGTTCTATGGGTTCAGAATAACATCTTTTAACTCTGTTTGATGTGTGTAGAAAATTTGAAAATTAATTGTTACTTGAATGAGGCTGCACTGCTATTTATCGTGCCAATAAAAAATTTTATTTGTTTTCTTACATTCTGCACAGTAGGGATCCTGGGTATATATTTGAAATACCCTACAAATATAAATCACTTTCAGAATTAAGATCGGTCACTTTTTCTGTTGATTACTAGATCCTTTATCTACCCGTGCAACTAGCTGAAGACAATACAAACTAACAGTTAGATATCTAAGATTCATTTCAGGCCAGACCTCAGAAACAAGTAGTGTGTCAGATGTTTAAAGATGTGTTCTGACTGTATGTTCTTCCATTATTGTACTATGGACCTGAATGTATTCTTACTTCAACTTCCCTTCTTATAATGCCTTTGACTGAACATTGTTCAGCCGATTGGAAGTCAGACATAATAGATCTTGACTGGAAAATGAATATTTTTTTTTTGTTATTTCATAAGTGTTTTATTATACTTACCATAATTAACTTTATTATTTTTCATTTTAGTTTATTAAAGAGACTTCTAACATAGAAAAGAGCGTTAATTAAAATTATAGATTTCCTGATTTTTCTTGCAAGTTTAAAATAGGATCAGGAGCTGGATCTAGAGTTTTGGCTGTTCTGTATTTGGTAAGTCAGAATGAAGTCCTGGATATAAATTTTAGCAAATGCAGGAAATTTCGGATTTAATCCATGCCTGACCTTTGCAGGATAATCCATCTCTTTGCAGTCTTAAAATGTGAAAAATAAAATTGTAAGATAAAAATTCTGTATGGAAAAAGCCAGAAAGATGTAGAAATTACAGGATAACCGTTTTCCTACTTTAAAATGCATTTGTAATCATAAGCACAAACGTTGTTTTAAATGTCTAAACTGCTCTTTATGTGCATTTTGTAAACGTACACAGTTTCTTGTCAACACAATCAATACAATACTGTCCAAATTGTTCATTCATTATTTAGCCTTTCTAGTGACACCATTACTGTCAGCTTTGGTTATAGAACTTCATTTATTTAAAATTTCATTCACTGTGGGAAGGATGAGGAAGTGAATCATGTCTCAATAATGGAAATCTGGAAGGAGATGATGTTGTCGTGTGTATTGAATTAACAACCACAAGGTACCAGGTCATTTAGAGGTTTATGTTTCAGGCAGAAGTGTTGCTCAACACTGGAATCATCCAAAATGTTCAGTTCCCACTAAAAGTAATGGGCATTAGATTAGTAGTTCCAAACCAGTGTAGGTTTTATATATAAGGCTTATCTGGTTGCTTTTGAAATTATCTCTGCATAACTATCTGTTATAGTAAAGCAGGACTGAAATGCCTTGACGCCCAGTCAGCCTCACAGACAATTTATGCAATGTGCTGTAATAGTGCATAATCCCCCCTCACCTCCTTCCAGTTTTCTTACATGACTAAAAACAGCAAATGAAGTAGCAGCAAGACAGACCAAAAAAAAAAAAAAAAAAAGACACATGAATGAGAAAATTACAGCTTTCATCCGTTGATAGCTACAGCAAAAATCAGAATCCCAAGATGACTAATGCTCAGTGTACACCACAGTCTTGGGCAATAGAGGAAAGCTTAATTTGTGTAGTTAGGCTGGAGCAGCTGCCACCTCCAGCCACTCCATCCCACGACTGCCTCCACCACCAGTCAGTGAATGCAGGGATCTGAGGTCTTCACCAAAGCTGAGGGACCCAGCTTCCACTTTCCTGTCTGCAGGTTTAACCAGTAGCAAAGCACAGAGACTGTCCTAGAGAGCAGTAATAACTGTGTACTAATGTTGTGTACGCCAATACTTAAATGCAGTGAAGCTGAGAATCACATATTGGAATACCTCTATGGTTCGTTCTTGAACGGTATCAAGTATTAATAGCAATTTACTTAAATATATTGCTAAATCTAACAATACATTTGTAACTTAGATATCTAGTTCATACTCTTTATGCTGTGGATAGTGAATTGTGACTCTCGATTTTAAACTTATTTTTTAGGTAGTGTTTGAAGGATAGTGGATAATCTTTCATATATTCAGATATAACTTTAATTTCTTTGGCTGTTCTGAGTTTACGTTAACGTTGCTAAGAGTTTATCCCAGTGCTGGAAACTTTGAATTTAATATTTAAAACAAAGGAATTGTGGAAGTGCTCTGAACTGGATGATGATACACAGGTTTCCTGCACAGCTCTGCTAATGCACTGAAGATCTAAATGACCATGTGCTTGGTGTTAGTTTGGGGATTCTTGTTTCGAAGCAGTTATAGGGTTTACTTTTAGTGACATTTTAAAAAACAGATAGTTATGCTGCAAGAGTGTCGTCCTTAAATATAATTGGAGAAATCACCTATTAGGAACATGCAAATATTGTGCTTGCATCCTCTGGAAAACAGAGAATTAACTTGCACTTTTGTCTCTCTGTACTGTTGTATGTAAAGCCTTTAACAGTTTAATAAGTCACTGGAAAGAAAGACTTGAAAAAAGTTGGAGGCAGATTTCTGAAAGCCCTGTCCCCTTTTCATCAGATAAGTCACGAGTCAATGCACATAATGGGAAGGCAATATAAATCATGTCCCTACAACTTGATTTTTCTGCCAATCCAAAATAAAAGTGAGGTTGTTATGCACTAGTTAGGCATTTGTGGGATCCTTAGGAGCTTTCCTTCTCCAGTGGATGTGTGTTACTATGAGGGGTTTATTTACCTTCCCCATAGCAGTTTGTGACTCCCTGCAATTTTACTCCAAAGGGGATATGACCCCAAGGCAAGCCTTTGCCCAACTTCTTAAAATACCTCTCAGAGCTAACTTTTAGCTTTGTCACTGCTTAATTACTATAGCATCCCTGATTAATTCTGGGCCACAACCAGTGAACTCTGAAGTAAATGTTTACTTAAGTGAGTAGGGGGAATTTAGGAGTTACCAACAGTAAATTTAGATGATGGGCAAGGTTGTTTCAGAAAACCTTTAAAAGCTTTACTGATTATATGAATGTTCTGGCAAAACCTTTCAGTTAAAATGTGACTTCATTGTATTTTGGGAAAGACTAACGTTTAACTTGGGGTTTTTTTTACTAATAGGTGCCAAATGAGGCATCATCTGTCCTCAAGCCACAGTGGCTTGTTTCTGTCCTCTACTTTTTGCCCTCTCTTTTAGCCAATTCAGCTACTTGTGTGAAATGTGATAAACTGTGTTCGGGAACAGAATTTAAAATTACGTTTATTCCCTTTGTTCCTGCTGCTGTTCAAAGTATCACTTTGATAATCTGTAATTCTCCTGTCTCCACAAATGCTGTTAAAGAAGGCACTAAGGCTTTGGAGATAGGAAAGTTGGATCAGAAAGTGGGAAAGGAATGGGAGCTTCATAACCTGTTTTATCTGCCAAAACAAATGCGTGTGATTCTTTTACCCTTTGACAGATAGATCATGGCTGATCATCTATCTAGCTGAACTCTGCTAAACCATTATGCATTTTCAGACTTTTTACTTTTTTTTTACCCATAAACTGTTGTTAGCCCCTCTCTCTTCCTTTATGATCTCACGGACCTCTTAAACAGATTCTGTCTAAATTATTTTCTTGAAGGTTTTTCTGGGAGGTCATTGTTAAAGATTTATAAGTAGTGAATGAGGCTTTCCACTGTCTTATCAAGGATGTGTTTCTCAAGTAAATTGACACATTCACTTCTGAAGGGCATTCAGTTTGACAATTGCATACAAAGATCCTCTGTTTCACTGCCTTTTAGCCTGAGCAAGACACTAATTCATTCTCATCTCACCTTCAGACAGACAAGAAAATAAATATATTCAGGTCGAAACAGAAAATACTACAGAATGTCCTCAGATTCCTCAGAAGTGGCCCAGGACATTAGATTTTAGGGCTATTTTCAAGTTTACAGAAAGTTTCCAGCACAAGTATTCATTGCCCATGAACGAAAAGACAAAATGACAAAGAGAGGAAGCCTAGTCCTAGTGAAAGCTGAACTGGAAATTCACTTCATGGTATACATGGAATACATTTTTATTCAGAAAAATCAGAGAAATTGGAATGAGATTCCTAAAATATAGCAAGGGGATAAATCCTTTTCCGCTTCCCTTATTATTTGTATGAGAGAGAAAGAATGACAAAAAGCAGAGGACTGGAGGAGGAGAAGGGTAGCACAAGACTTCCACCATTTAGACAAAAATTAATTGATAGCTGTACTATAAAAACTCTTTCAGGTTCAGCCAATTAATTAGCAACATTTCCATGTTAATGAATAACTGCATAATAAATCCTTTCCACATTGCCTTTTTTTCTTCTCTCATCCAGAAAACATCTCTCTTTTTCTATGGAAAAAAACCTGGCTTTAGTAATAGTATATGCAGTTAATAATGATCTTTATTTTGGTGCTCTACAGGGTTTCCTGTGCAGATGAATGACTCGGATCACTCGCTACTTCAACATTCTTTTCAAGGATGCATGCAGTTTATTCACGTGGATGATCAGCTAGTGGATTTGCATGCAGTGGAGCAAGGCCAGCTGGGAAGCTTTGCTAATGTCACCATTGACATGTGTGCCATTATTGACAGGTAAGTTGCAGAGAGATCACCCATAGTATGATACACTGATATGTCCTGCATATTTTGAAAAAATACAGTGATGCAGAAAAGATGATCCAGACACTGTCAGTGATCATATCAAGGTGGTCCTACCTTTTTAGCAGAGGGAATCATGCTTAGGTGATGGAGAAGATGGCTTTAAATTGTGGACTGTGTAGGATGCAGTGGAAGGCATGTCTCAAATCTCCCCATTTACAGGCAGAGGACGAGGTGAAAAGTTCTTTTAAGTCAGATTCAGCTCCAGATCAATAATAGGGCTGCCTTGAATAAAGGAAACTCTTCACATATTTTGTCTCTTTCTTAGAGTGTTATGGAGATATTTTGCAACTAGAAATTGTGCTTCCTTGCTTCAGTGCCTTCTGGATTCACTGAATTCCTCAGAGAACTAAAGCAGTCTACATGTTTGCATATCTGTGCATGTAATAAATGCTCAAATGTTATTAAAATACTGCTTACTGAGTTGGTTTGTTGTTTTCATTCTCAAACTGAGAAGAGTAATTCAGAATTAGGGCAGCCTTTTGCTCTGAGCCATACTTTTTCATCCACTTATGTGTGTTTATTTATGTTGCTTCTGATTAATTGTTTCTTTGTTGGCAGAAAAAGGAAAATACTAGGAAAGACAGGGAAAGAGCAAGTAGCCCAACTCCTTAATGCAGGCACCTTGACTTATCATGAAAATTACCTGCATATAAAACCCATTCAGCTGAAAAGCTGAAAATAGCTTTTTTAAATGCAGCTATGAAGGAAGCAAAGAGTACAAGATCACAGAACTGTAGAATAATTCAGGTAAAGGGCAACTACTGGAGTTCATGTGGTCCAAGCCCCATTCAATGCAGGGCCAACTTCAAAGCTAAATCAGGTTACTCAGGGCCATGTCCTGAACTGACTTTTGAATATCTCCAAGGATGAAGGTTCCACAGGCTCAGTGACTTTGGATATCATCAGTAAGTATCTGCTAGGTAAAGAAATACATATGCTTTTCATTTCTTTGTGTACATTAGGAGACTTTCAAAGAGATGGGTGCTATTGTGAAAAAATGAAGTATGACATACTGCTTTGGTCTTGCAAAATGCCTTACCTGCCTGAAATCAATTTATAGTAAACAAGTTGTGGTGGGTTGACCACGGCCAGGAGCCAAACACCTGTCCTAACTTTTGCTCTCTTCCCTCTCCTGGGATACGTGTAGAAAACCAGAAGGAAGGTGAAAAGACTTGTGGATTAAGATGGCAGTTTAATAAGAAAAGCAAAAGCTGCACATATAAACAAACAAACAACAACAAAAAAGGAATCCTTTCACTACTTTGCATCAGCAGGCCCTCCGCGCATGTAAGGGGTGTATTTGACAGTTTGAATTGCTTGGGTTTATTTCGAATATTTGTTTTTTGGAAATGTAAACTAACCTGGAGGAAAGAATGTGAAGATGCAGC